ACAACTATCAAGCACCTGAAAGTTATTTCACTTCTCGTTATACTCACACTTTTTCTATATTTTAAATATTCAATAATTTCATTCTGTCAACTTTGCTTGTATATTTTTTCCGGAAAATAATAGTAAATTTTAATTTTTTTCATCTATCATTTCCTAATATTTTCGTTACCAACAATTATTAATCATGTTTTTGAATCATTTATTTTTTTAATGCGTTTCACTTTTCGGTCTCAATGAGTACGTGGTATCATTCACTTTCTGGACTCATTAACGTTTACTTAAAGTCTTACTTGAAGCCCAATCACTATAATTCTTCATCTTCCAAACAACCAAAACAACATTTTTGAAGAGAGAGAAGACGGTGAATATGTATGAAAGTATCTTAAGAAAAATGCATTTATGACTTTCTGAATCTTTATACAAAAAATGTGGAAGTAGATAGCTAGAACACTTTTTTCCTGAAGCTAATCTCTTCTTAAAATATCCTTCTTCCAATTATTAAAAAAATGCCATTTGACTCACCAGATAAATCGAATACAGAACATATTCCCAGAAAAATCATCCACCAGTTCATGCTAAAGCTAAAATGAAATATCACTTGCGTATTTCAACAGACCATTAATATCAATAACGGTTTTGGTTGTCTGCTTCAAAGACAAATGCAAAATGACTTAAATGAAAGCGAGAGATACTGTTTTATTCTCTTCAAAATTACTAGTAGGTACGTTAGGTTGAATTAGTCTGGAGTTTCATCTCACAAATCTAACTCGGTTAGTATTGCTTTCTTTGAATTGGGTAACTTTTTTCTTATAGGGTTTTCTAGATCGACAAAAATATTTGTTTTTGAAAATGTTTTGAATAAATGATTTACCTTCGACTAATAATAGTTTTAAAATGGATAATAACACTTCAGTACCCTCAGTCAGTATCGAGGATTTGGGATAAAGGTACTACCACACACATTTTTGGAAAAAAGATTATTCATTTCGAAATTTCGAGGAATTTAAAATTTTCATCGAGGCTTCGAAAGTAACATCGTTTTTTGCTGCTACGTTTTAGTTGTAGATTCATCAGTCTCAAACAAGCTAAGCCAGTGTCATTATATAACCTTGATCTAGACATAATTGCAATAACTGGGACTGATTGACCTTGAAAAGATGTCCCCCACATACAGTTGTCGAGATTGTCAAGTAATCAGAGAGATGAGGTTGTGTAACGAGAAATAAATTGAAATAGCCAACTTGAATACTTAGAAATAATAACAAGAAAGGTTGGTATACTCCAGATTGTAACATCATTTTTCAATTATATTTCAATCATTACAATTGCTGAAGATACGTTTTTCAGAAAGTATCCTGTTCCAAGAAGAATAGTTTTGAGTAGACTAACAGTAAATATATACATGTTGACTTCAGATTGAGAGAACAGTGCTTACCTCATTTCAGAACAAAAGGGCAGGCCAATATTTCTGAAGAAGGTGTGTTTTATAAACTCACAACTGTTGAAAAAAAAATATTTTTTTTTGTTAACCAGTTGTCGCCCCTCTACGAACTCTCAAAATTCGAAACTTATGCAAGCTAAGTACTAACGAGGTCTTACCTTTTAAGGTGTGATTCCTGAAACGGGTTGGACGATAGGAAGTGAAAATCGATCGTCCGACCTTGCGGTTCAAACCACCGATTCACACAGCGATGAAATGAGTGGGTGAAGCAAACCACCCACGTTAACCCACCAGGCTACCATCCCACTTGTATACAATTCAATTCAAAAACTATTTTTGTCTAGAAAAAAAGCTTTTAACACTCTATATGAACGTTTTATTGCCTTTATTGGGTTTTCTGTGCAGGAACATTTAGTAAATCATTGTTCTACCTTACTGTCAATAAATTACATTTGAACAATGTATAGCTGAAGAAAATAAAAAATAACCCTGATTATTTTACAGTTTCTTCGCCCAGAATCAGAAACAACCTCATTAGAATATTTCGGAAATGAGACTTCAGTAATTTTCTTGTCAACTGATTGATGATTCATAAACTTTTCACCAGCAATAATTCTCATAAATTCGTCGGTATAAGTAAATCAGATTTGGGGAAGTATCAGAGAAACAAGTTCATAAAACCTGATAAAATGCAAGGAATATTGAAAGAGCTGTAAAAAATTGAAAATAACTACTCGTATTTATGAAATAAAAAAATTGGTACACGATGAAGATGAATAAAAAAATAAGAAAATGGTTCCAACTGAAAAAAATAGGATGCAGCAATAAACTGATAATAATTCTTGGAAAATAGAATTGAAAGAAAATATAGAAGAATTCACCATAATTCATATGAACGAAATATTTTTTGTTATCGTGAACATAATATCGAATGGTCCCAAGCTGAGATCATACTCAAAGAGAAACATTGATTTAGGAGGAAATTCAAAGAAGCCGCATACATATTATCCAACAATGTATTCAGCCAAGCTAGCTTAGAGATACACAACATATGGAAATCCATAATCAACTTCCGCCAAAATGTCAAGTGAAAGTACTCAAATGACCTATAAATAGTCACGGAGTAATCGGTCCAGTCATCACTCCAAGACGATTGTGAATACTAACAATCGAAACTTGGCTTGGAATCTCTCAACTTTTCAATTTTATTTTATTTATTTTTTGTTCAATTCGTTCCATTTTTACTTTTATTTTATTTCACTATTATTTCATTTCAGGTTTTTTGCTTAATATAATTGTTTTTTCAGCTATTTTTCAATTCATCTCTTTTTTAAGTTATTTCAGGGATTTCAAATCATTTTATATAATATCAGACAATGGAAATCCGAACTAATGAAATTCAAGCTTCATCCTGAATCATTTTTCCGAAACTCTTGTTAACAAAGCGAATGGTATAAATTCATAAAACTATTTACCTCAATGAATTATAAAATCGTACATCATGAAAGATTCAGAATCTAATCCCCAATTAATATTCTTTTCTTTTTTTATAAGTGTAACAAATAAATTGATTCCTGAATTACTCAGAGCTTTTGTTAAACTGTTAAAAGCATCTCCACATAAAGTAGGCGTGATTCTGAATCCGCTGAAATTTTGATTTCATTTATTGATTGTTGCAAAAATAATTAAAATCTTCACTCTGTCGACTGCGACATATTGGGATATTCTATTTTGATTGGAATATTTCACGCTCGCTACCCATCTTGTTAATCAAAGCTATAGCTGCGATATCATATATTCTCAGTAATACTGAGCATTTCTGAAAATCATTACTAAAACATCTGAGACGATTGAAGGCAGCCGCTTATTTTAAATAATGTATACGAGGTCCTGTTATTAAATAACGAAACTGCGCGCCTAGAAGGCGCCTTAGAGGAGTAGAGGAGTATGGAAAAAAAACGGGTAGTGCGTTGGGTATCTAGAAATTTTCTCTATTCATGTACCAATACACGTTTTCGTCACTATTATAGTAATCGTGTAGTAGCGGTTAGAAACGAACGTGTTTTTTTCTCGTGCCGAAAACCGTGTGTGACGAAAAATAGAAGCAACGTATCAGTCTCAAATTTCTCGTTCAATTGAAAAAAAACTCCTACTGAGTGCCATAAATTATTACAAGAGGCCTATGGGGATAATTCTCTATCTCGTACGCGTGTTTTTGAGTGGTGTACGCGCTTCAGTGAGGGTCGAAAGAGTAATAATTTCCAAATCTAAATTCAAGGCAATGTTGATCACTTTTTTCGACAATAAAGGTATCGTGATGACTGAATGGGTTTGAGAGGGCCAGAATGCAACCAGACTTACTATTTGTCAGTTTTGGTAACACTGCAAGAACGAGTTCTTAAGAAACGGCCCGAGTTGTGAAAGAATAACTCGTGGATTTTGCACCAGGATAACGCACCTGCCCATAACGCGCTATCTGTGAAGCGGTATTTGGCCTATAAACTCCCTCCCGTTCTCGAACACACGCCGTACTCGCCAGCTTTAACACTGTGCGATTTTTTTTTCCGAAAATAAAATCTGCTTTGAAAGAGGCGCGATTTGAGTCGATGGAAGCGATAAATCAAAAAAACGGCAGAGCTCCTAAAGGCCCTCACCAAAGAAGACTTCCAGCACTGCCTCGAACAATGGAAAAACGTATGGAAAGGTGTGTGGCGAGGGGAGGGAAATATATTGAAGGGTAGCATTCGAATGTAGAATAATTTTTATAATTAAACCCTTTTTCGTTACCAGTCTCGGTATTTAGTAGCTGGACCTTGTATGTTTCGACTGCTAGTTTGACTGAGAAACTCTTGGACGGTTTTTATTTCACATAATAACCCCCGCTGCAAGCATCTGAGTTACAAAACTGAAATGTTTGACATATATTCCAGAATTTTCTTATTTACTTTCACCAATACAGATCTGTCCGAATATATCTCCCTATTGACATAGTAGCAGTATCATTATTATTTGCCCGTCTTAGGCGCCCAATTCACACAGAACGGACTTCTGGCAGAGACGAGACTTCGGCATGGCATGGACGTAGCGTATGCAATACACATAGAGGGGCGGGACAGTGGCGAGAAAGGAAGTCAGTAACCTGATGGTTTTTTAGACTACAACTGGCGTGCCCCTTCTTGTAAGCCACGAGAGACGGCAAAGAGACAGCGCGAGGGCGGAAGGGCTACTGCCCGCGCCACGTCACTTCTGTGAACATTGAATCATTTGTTCACATAGGAGAGACAAAGGTCCCCGCCTTGTTTCTGTCAGACGTCTGTTCCGTGTGAATTGGGCTTAAGAGCTGAAACTTTCTCTTTATCGACTTTTTACATATAACCACCCATATTTAATGGTTGTACCAACTGAATTCAAAATTCTGATGGAAATTGCAAGTCTCTAATCTATTATGACATTTTATCGTTATGTAATTGGCTCATTTCATTTTCAAATGTTAAAACACAAATGATCCGCTCGGACAATAGCCTCCTTCATAAAATTTAGACTGTTTTTCACCAAAATTCACCTCTATTTCTCGCTCCAACCTCAATATTTCAATTTTGCCCGTGGAACTTGCAGTTCTGAAACTAGGTTAGCTGGCGATTATGACGAAGAAGGTATAGCCTTCACTTGCAGCACCGTTGCCCTTTTATTCAAACTTGTAAGTTTGAACCGAATATTGATTCTTCCATATCTTCGTCACTAATAACTTTTTTGACATTTTGATTCTGCTGATTAATTGAATTATAGTTTCGATGCAGAGACAAACTATGAAATACGTCTGCAAATAACTGTGCGGCTTCATTCACCACTGAGAGAACATCCTTTTAGATATCCACTTTCACTATGTCCTTTATGATATTTCCCAAGGGTTGACCAATAGCTCATAATCCGACCCCTTTCTGCTTTTGAAGGTTGTAAAGAAACTTGTTCTTCTTTATTATGTGGAAGTTGGGACAAGTTTTCACCTCTCTGTTCAATTTGGAGAGGCCAAGCATATACAATGTTTTCCTAATGGATATTTATAATCGGAGTCTGCAAGACCTCACGACTTTTCTATGAGGATAAATAGAAGAGAACTGTGCAACTCGTCTGAATACATAATATATAACCATGTGGCTTCCAAGTATATTATGTAAGAATATCTTTATTTGCAATGCGATGTGTATGCATAGCAACTTGCAAGACAAAATTATGCATATGTTTCTCTGTGATTAAAAATGAAATCTGAAAAAATGAAATAAAACATATCCAATTCAACATTTGAACTGGCATCACTTCAATCATCACGTGAGTCTTTTCAAACTTCTTCAAATTGTCTTTGTGAAAATTCAAAATTTTTTCTCAAATTTCCTTCCTTTCTTTCTTTCTGCTCTTCGTTTTGTCATTTTTAAAAAATTATTGAGTTATAATATTTGACTATGTTCTGTTCGGCACGCAACAAACTAATGATTCGCAGCAATAGCGAGCATAGCAGGAAAAAAAAGAAAAGCTTTATTGCTCGATTCGTTCTTTGAATATGTGTGCAGTTATATATACAGAGTCAAGAGTTATAACTGGTCAGCAAAAAAGACTTGTGAAAAGGTGCCATTTGTGGAATCAATAGATGAATCAAACCAGCGATGCATTCGTTATCTGAATGAGCATGAGATAAAAAATCTCAGGCTTTTTCTACTTCAGAAAATTATTCATTTTAGTAGTTTTAGACAAAAAATTATTGATCTGTACCTTAGTAATACACTCCTTATTTTGATCCCTTTGAAAAAATGTTACATTGTACCTATATTTATGATGCACTATTTGGAACCTTTGGTGTAATAATGAATTACTGGAGTTTTTTTCCAACACCAAATCGTTATTTTCAACATCTCGACACGTGTTTCGATCACTTGGTGTTGAAAATAACGATTTGATGTTGGGAAAAAACTCCAGTAATATTGTACCTATATTAACAAATTTTTCTTTGTTGAAAAGAATGGTTTTCTGCACTATATTCAGAAAATCCTAATTTTTCGTCAGTAATCAATGGAGGTTGCAAAATTGACACAAACTTATCATTATCGTTGTCATCTCACCTTAGAGAATGTGTTGATTGGATAGTTAAAACAAGGATGAGATGAAAAAAAATCAAGTTACAAATGGAAACAAACAAGTATGATAACATGAAAACGAATAATATGATTTTTGAATATTCTTTCAATAATATATTTTGATGTAGGGCTTGCGCAGATCTCTTGTTACATGTCTTTTTGGCCAATTCTACTGATGTTACATTTTTTGTGATAGAAATGCCTAGATATAAATATATCCGTAAACTTCGTAGCTCATCTACAGTCGCAAATACATTCCTAACTGTACCTAATATAAAAGAAAACTATTTGACACTCTTCATCCCAAGCAGTCAAGTGACAAATCAATAAACTTTATAATAATAAACTTTATATCATATTCATATTGTTTTTTAGGGTTAGGTAAGAGCGGAGAGAAATAAGAATCTCAAATTTGAATTCATGAAAACCCAAAATACACGATGATGATTTTTCCCCCAACATTTTCAGTCACATAAGTATGATTACCTGAAAGTTTCAACTGAATTTTCAGAATAAGGGGAACAGGATTACCTGGTGAGATAGAAAATCTTGAATTCTAATTAAGAGAGTACCCCTTTTTCGGATATTATTTTCGTCGTTGTTGGTCAATATTCAAAACGTGCCAGTTTTACCTACACTGAGATGATGAAAAAAGAATTTGCGTACTAGTGTTAACATAGTGAATTGGCAAAGAGTGTAAATTTTTACTTTTTATAATAGAAGTTTCGTCTTAAACCGCGGTAGACATTAGTGAAGGCGATGAGGCAAAGGACGAAGTTCTAGATATCCTCTCAGAATTTTCTACAGCGGTGAAGGTTCAGGTCTTCGGAGATAAAACGTCAGACATGAAATTCTGCAGACAACAGGCAACTAACATGTAGTTCTACAGCCAATAAAAAAAGTCCAAAATTTTTCGATTTTTATCTATCCAACCTCACATGTGTTGACATCAGTAGTTTTTCTCTTCATCCACTTATAAGAGATCAAATCTTTCAGAATCCTTCATCAAAATTTAATTAAAAACATATAAAAACTTTCAAGAACAAACAAATCAAAAGTTCTAATAGATATAAAAATTATAAATAACATATCACAAATCTCGTGTATAAATACTAAGTATCTCAAACATGAGATAACTAGTCTCCATAAAAATGGACTAGGAGTCTATTACATGAAAGTAACATTACCTCAAATGAAAATATAATACTTTTTCAAATGGAAAAGTATGAACCAGTATTGAACTTCTTGTATATTCGATATTATACTTTGGAGAGATCAGTTGCGCTGCCAGAGAAAGAAAATATTGATACCTATTTTCCCGTCATATGGAACATGATTCATACATTTGCATTCATGGTCAAAATATTACAACGCATATTCATTTGCGACAGCTGTGGCTTGGTTGTTGAGTAGTCCAATATTATCCGGAGGCTTTTTAGGTCCAGTTTCATTAACAGGAAGTTGACGTTTGGCACACTTCTTTCTACAGGCCAAGCAATACAGAAGTAAGGACAGGACTGAAATAGCAGCAATCACTCCTAAGCCAACAGAAAGCTTCCACATCATGTACTTCCTCTCCCAAGTCTCTACAATTTCCTTACATTGCTGCAAGATTTCGCGCTCTTCTTTTGTGTAGGGCAAATTGGGGCAATCTGTAAAAACGATTAATAAATGATATATAAAAAGGTGAATAGCTACAAACAAGGTGAATATCAATGAACAGAACCCGATAGCCAATTATTAAGAGGATAATATGTGGAAATGATCTGAAGTATACATATAAGTTGACTCGTGGTTCCTGCTCAAAACTTCATATTGGCCAAATGGGCCGAAATTTATTCCGAATAATAAAAGAACACTGGAGTAGTTTCTTGAATGCACAAATAATTTTTTGGCAAAGGGGCGTGAGTTTAATGACGACTATGACGCATTACATTTGGAAGAGAATGGTTTGAAATTGCATATTTTGATAAATTTTTGCATTGTTGAAATTTGGAAAATCAATAAATTGCAGAATATGGAACATTTACTGAATAAACAAATAGATCTTGAAATTGGTAATTAGTTGATACGTAATGTAATTTTAGGACGTTACCAGCACTGAGGGTTTACGTCCATAAACTGTCAGAAAAACTTAAAATGTTTTCACAAAATTCTATTGAAATCAATAGTTTAAAATCTTTGTTATGCTTGGTCAGAATATGAAGGGATGATTTCTATACATTTTGATGGTATAGTCGAGATCGGTTATAGTTAGGTACATAGTACCTTTCATGGATTCGTATTATTTTTTCTCAACCTATCCAAAAGTGTAACGAAATACAGGTGGTTCAATTTAAAAAACACAACTTCGATATGTCACACTGTTTTGAGCCACTTTGTAGACTCCAAAATAATTTCCAGTATACAATAAATGTAAAAATTTTCAAAAAAATCATTGGTTTAGTTTACAGGAACCGTATAGTATGAGTTGTCCCACCCTATATAAAAAATTCTCGTGTCACATTGTTAGTTGCCATATTCCTCGGAAACGATTCGACCAATTTTCATGAATTGTATACAACTCTCAATTTTCACTCTTTTAACTTCTATTTTTTAATAGCCATTTCAGTAATTTAATCATTTTTAACCATGATTATACATCAGTTATTCCCACCAGGCGTCTGCCGGTGTCACTTCTAACTCAGTTAACAACACAGATTGGGGATTAGAACAAAAACGGTCTCATGTCTCTCTCACACAATAAGCCTTCTCTCATTCCTACACAGTTTTCGGCCACTATTATTGTCCATTCATCCAGCGTAGATACAGTGTGCGATGCCATCGAAGCTGAGAATTATCCATTAGAAATTTTGAACTCATTGATTGCAGGCATGCCACTACATACTATTCAATTGAAGGTTGAATCGTTCGGTAATTTGAATGCACCACAGCTTTGCAACGGCACACGATTAGCCATCAAAAAATTAATGAAAAACGGTGCCTAAGGCAGCATTTCAAATAACAAGTTCCGAGGTGAAAATATATTGATATCACGAATCCCTATTATACCTATAGATGTGTCAATTCATTGTGAACGTGTGCAATTTCCAATAAGATTCTCATTTGCAATGACTAATAGTGAGTCCCAATGCCAAACAATGTGTGTTTGTGAATTGAATTAGAGCACACCATGTTTTTCACACAGACAATTATACGACGGGGTATGTTTTCAAGTGGATAAACCATCCAGTTTGTTTGTGTTAGCTAAACATGGACTAACAAAGAATATTGTACACACTATACGATAGCATTAAGGAATTGATAATATTTGTAAGTGTTATTGTTCTAAAACATATCTACAATGATTTAGTTATTATTTCCTACCCTAAAAAATTCCATAGAAATAATATATGTAGCAAATCAACGTTTGCCAGGTCAGCCACCTAGTTTCTCATAATTTTGAAATGTTTCTACCGATATTTATTCCTTTCCATTTTATAGCCAGCAATGGTGGAAACGAATTCAGGCATTGTATTTGCTTCTGGATTCATAGGTCTCAATACGAAAAAAAGAACAAATCGTCTATGATAGTGACTCTTGTGGATGTTTCACTACACAATTTTCACCACCAAAAGTGTGTTTATTGTCAAAAAAACAGCTTTTGAATCATATGAAAATCCCTTTTTATTCTTTGGATGAATCCAAAATGTAACTTGTAAGAGATGACATGACCAATAATGGATTTCAGTCGGTTTTTTCCGCTACTTAGCCCAAAAATAAGAGGTTGATACGAACGTCTCATTGGTTGTTTCAAGAGAACTCTGATAACTGTCGTGACAAAGCGATAATCTGCACAAGAAGTACTGCAACCTTAGTCAGTGAAGCGAGGCCTCTCACTCCACGTATCTACGGATTAATAAGACATGGTTGGTATTTTACCAAATTGTAACCCTATTGACTCCAAGTATTTTCATTAGGAAAGATCCACGAATAAAACAGGGGGAATACCTCCCATATTTGGCTGATATATTTTCGAAACGGAAGTATCTTCCGAGTGCGGTCAATAGAAGCAAGTGGTACAACGACGATCGTTATTTACAGAAGGCGAACATGTAATCATCGATAAAAATAGTTTTCTGAGAGTGGATCCTACGTCATTTCAGGCAGACAGTGAGTCAGACCACCCAGCCAATCAGACGCACCAGTCACGTGAGAATGTCCACATGCGCTTTCCTCAACCTTAATTTCCACCTGTCACTTTTTCCGCTTAATCCCAGTCGCCACACCTTTGTGACGCCGTAAATTCCCAGCACAAGTCGTTACTTTGAACTTGATCTTGAATTAGGAAAAATCAAAAATATCGAAGAATTGAACCTAGGCCGTCGGAGTAGTAGGCTTGGTCCTTAGCTTCGACACCAACGTGAGATCTTGAAAGTAATTGCAAGCTGGTGATAGTGATGCGGTGTGCGGTTGACTTGGAATTTAATGGAAAAGGTAAAACAAAGATGGCATCGGAAGTCGATACTTTGTTAACAATAGTCGGATCGCTACATGCAACACATCAAATAAAAAAATGTTGAATTTATTGACCAAAAAAACAAGTTGTATTGAGTGAAAAGAGGAAAATTTAATATTTTCGAGACAAAATGAACCATGGAGAGAACACCAGCAATGATGGTGAATTTATCGAAAAGAGAATCATCGATGACTACTTATCAGGAACAGTCTCTGATAGAAATTAAGAGCCACGAATAAAAACGATATGTCAATAAGTAAACCATTTTTCCTTATTTTTTGATAGCATTATTAGAAAGATGAGTCACATGTGTGAGGAGATCGCCTTTTGACCTTTGCTTCAAATCGATTTTTCATTCGGCGGTAGGACTTTCTGTGTCTTGGATGAGCAGGTTTTAATCAACCATATAGGTAGGTAGGTAGGTAGGTCTGAAGTGAGTGGGTCTATTCGACCCTCCACCGCAACCCGCAAGGGTTTATTGTGGCTCACACCTATTCACACTCGGCCAAATCAACCCATCTTCTTAACGAAGCCGATTAGTTTTTATGGTGAGTCGTCTTTCAGGTCAGATGGTGAGAGTACAGATCTGCAGAACTCAAAGAACCTGATTCGGTCCCCAGCGGGGCAGACGCAAAGTATATGCTCTGCAGTTTAAATATTTTCCAGACAGAGGCGACACACACTGTCTTCCGACAGTCCAAGTCTCTGCATGTGATGATTCAAATGACAGTGACCTGTAAGAAGGCCTGCTATACATCGTAGTTCATCCCTACTGTAGTCCAACAACGGTTTGAAATCAAGCTTCGAAGGGTGAATAAACGCCTTGGAGTGAGCCAATTCTGGAAGATTCTGCCAGAAGTCCATAACTCTTCTTGCCATCCAGGTGTTCAGTGTTTGTTCGGCAAAACCTAAAGCGATGCCAATGACAGGTTCTGGTCCGATGAAGCCGCTTGCAGCACCCTCCTTTGCAAGGGAGTCAGCAGCCTCTTTGCCTTCCAGGCCCATATGGCCAGGAATCCACACCAGAGACAATATGTTGAGTTTTCCTATCGAGGAGAGTCGTTTTTGGCAATTTGCTACCAATTTAGACGTTGCTCGGTAGGAGCCAAGAGCTTACAACGCCACTTGACTGTCCAAGAATATTTTTATTGATTTGTATATGAGGTTGGATTCTTCCAATCTCTCCGCACAAAATTCAATAGCGTAAATTTCCGCTTGAGATACAGTCGCATAAGTTCCTAGGCAGGTAGATATCTCTGTCCTGGGTCTGCGACTAAAAACACCTGCACCAGAACCGGAAGGTGTTTTTGATCCATCTGTGAACCAACAACTATCTGCTCTTAATATTTCCTTCTAAACCACTTTTAAACAAATGCATTAGCTTAGTAGCGTTATCCGGTATTGGATCACGAATTCTTCATTCTCGCGAATGAAGAAAATGGTGCAATGTGAGAGGTTTCAAATGTTAAAATTCTCCAGCACAAGAATCAAGCAAACCGGGAATAGCGGAGCATATCTGCACCCGCCATCAAAACATCAACTGCTTATATTGGCATGAATAATGATAAATAAAATTGTATATGTTTTTTTACCACTTTCATTCGTAACTAATGTTGTTACTGCACTTTCGTCCTATGAGGACATTTTCAAACAATTACAGCTCCGGGATAAATCTTCTCAATAGGCACTCTTGGTTGAACCATTAGTTCTGTGATGCTTGATGATACTTCATTTTCAGTTTAAACTAGTATGTGGCTTGTCTAGCTGCACAGCTTTACTTGCATCTTTCAATAAACTGATGAATATAGCCATTACTACGTGGTACGAGAGTTTATTGTTTGAAAATGTCCTTATGAGACGAAACTGCAGTAACAACATTAGTTACGATAGAAAGTGGTGAAATACATGAAAAAAATTATTTTTCATTTTTCGTGATGATATCCTACCACATAGTAACGGCTACATTCATCCATTCATTGCTTGTATTGGCCCGTATCAGCTATATACCAAAATCTATGGTACAGGACCAGATGAAGAAATGGGTCAATAATAATTACGAAGACTTTTATTGTATTGAAGAAAACAATCGAGAACGCTTCTGCACTCCTACTGGTGAAAAAGGCTCCTGAGTCTGAATATGTGACACACCGAATA